CTGGGGGACCCACTCGCTGCCTTCTCTCCCCGCTGAGGATCTGACTTCTGTCACCGCAATTGGCTCTTCCCCTTCAGCCTGAACTTAGTCCTTCTCACTCTGCCTCGGAACCTTTGCCTCTGTTCTGCCACATCTTCCTTCCCGCAGCCGCTCTCTCACTTCCTCGCCTCTTATTTGCTGATCCATAGAGGGCTTCTTTCCTTACTCTGCAAACGTGACCAGCAATGCATGGGTTGGGGGGTAGGGAGCATGTCTGGCAACCTTTCTTTCTTCAGTTAAATCGTTTTCGTATTAGCAAAATAGTATCTCAAGACAAGCAGATTGGAAATGGACAAGCCATATACCAAAGCACATACATAGAACCTGCAAGTTTCTCTTCACTCACATCTTTCCCCATGACAACCACCATCCACATTGTTGAGACCAGGCTAGGCGCTATTCTAAGGTACTCCATAGAGTACAAAAAACATATAGGTAAGTATTTTGCCTGAATACATGTGTGTGCACCACGTGCATGCCTTCCTGATGCCCTTGGAGGTAAGAAAGGGATGTTGGATCCTGTGGGAGCCCATTTCCAGGCTTCCTCGTGGCTTTACCCAGCAGGTCTGCATAGAGAGGATGATCAGGACCACGGGCCTGAGTGCAGGTGTCTGAGATGGTCTGCACTTGGCTGTGCTGGGGGGAGGTCTTTTGCTCCACCCTTTGGCATTTCTATAAATACTCAAGGCTGAGACAGTCGGGGCCTGTTGGAATAGGTTCCAGGCCCTCTCCAGGCTATTTTGTATTTTCTATCTATTTATTGCCACAATCTAAATCATTCTATCTAATACTTCCTGCTGCTCACACTCAAGAAAACTCTGGGGAACTGTGGGGTTGGTGGGTAGCCATCCTGCAGGATCCCCTGGAACTGGAGTTATAGATGGTTGTGAGCCACCGAATAGGTGCTGGGAATCGAACCCAGGTTCTTTCCAAGAACAAGTAAGTGTTCTTAACGGCTAAGCTCCATGACATATATCTTTGTGTGTACATCCTTCCAGATTTTTTCCCATGTCAACACAAGTGTGTTTTTTTCCTGTCCTTCTTTCCTCAATAAAGACGATATTCTATTAGTTGTATTGTCTTGCACCTTCACAATGTGTCATGGACATATCCTACCTCAGTATATATTGGCTCATCTCATCTTTTCAGTGACTGCTCAGTCCTTGTCATCTTTGATTTCTACATCATTTGAGTCCTGCTGACTTGTTCTCTTCTCATTTACCCTTACTTTCTCTAGGTGTCATTTGCTTCTTAGAATTTGCCACAGATGACTGTCCCTGAAGCTTTTACCTGGACCTTCTCATCTTACTCTACCAGCTCTCTATGGGGAGTCCAGCTGCCTCTGTGGCTTCAGCTAGTACCCCGGGTCAATGTCCTTAGCACCTTATGTTCCCAGCTTTTCTCCTAAGTCCTGACATTGTATGCAACGATCACCTGCAGTCTCCTTTAAGCTCTCCAGATGCTGCAAACTCAAAATGTACAACACTCTAGAGCAGCGGTTCTCAACCTTCCTAATGCTGCGACCCTTTAGTTACAGTTCCTCGTGTTATTTCCTTGCTTCTTCATGTCTGTAGTTTTGCTACTGTTATGGATTGTAATGTATATATCTGATATGGAGGCTATCTGATAAGCGACCCCTGGGAAAGGTCATTCGACCCCCCAGGGGGTTGTGACCCACAGGTTGAGAACTGTTACACACACACACACACACACACACACACACACCCTGCCCCTCCCTGACACCCGTGTTTTCCCTCTGGCCTGTTCTGTCACCTACTCCTCTGCGCCAGCTGGCGACATGTATGCCCTTATCTCAGCCCCCCCCCCCGCCCCCCCACTTCCTCTCCTTCCTTCTGGACTATCTTCTCTACACCACCTTCACTGACAGCGTTAGGCAACGCCGCATCCTCTCTGCTAAACTACACCAGTAGTTATGCAACAGTTGTGGGGGCCAGAGCCGAGCCAACTGGTGAAAAATCTACAGCCAGCAGCAATCCGGTCTCACCGGGTCTTGGATCCGCCATTCATAGAATGCGCACAGTGGGAACACCTACTGCGCATGGGTGTTCCAGGGACCAGACGAGTCTCTACGAAGCATCTCGAGCGATGTTCAGCTCCTCCTCCTCTTCCTGTCTCCTTGCTTCCTACATTATGGCTTCCCACCTCAAGTCTTTCCCTTCAACCCACCATACATCCCGCTGCCAGACAGATCTTCCCAAAATGTAATTATGCTCACTTCGTATGCCTCTTAGAAACCTTTAAGAACCCTCCACAGCCTCAGATGAAGTCAGCCCTGATGTGGACACTTGATAGCCTTGTTTGTGGCTGACCCCGGTTACTTCTGGCCATCCCTTGAACTCTAACCTCTGAGAACCCTGTGCAGCTAGCTCCCTAGGGGTTACTCTGTTTCTGTGGGGTCCGTGGTGTTCACTCCCTTTCCTTGGGTATGCTTCAAGCCCTCTGATGGGATTCTCCTTTCGGTTGCCACGTTTGGTCCAGGTTTTGTGATCCATCATCTGGCTGTTTATCCCCTTGCATCTTGAAAGCAGGAGTTTGTGAGTGTGTCTCTGCCTTCCCAAATGAGTCACAGTGGGATGAGTGTCATGAGCGCTTCGTGCATTTTTGGTGGACACTGCTAAATTGATAAACTTTGGGGGGAACTGATGGACACGAGAACATCCCACGGTTTGAAGAACTGTGTGATGTGGGTCCAAACCTCTCAGAGCCTCTCCAGCCTGGCAGCACAAATGACGTCACATCAGAAGTGGCAATGCTGCCCTCCTCAGCTCAGACACTGTGGCTCAGGCAGGGCTCTGGCCCCTGCAGAGGGCTGCTCAGCCATATGGGAGACTCATTGGAGGCATCTCCCATGTGCCCATGTGTCCCAGTGGCTGTGGCTGGGCAGGGTCCTTAAAGCCAGTGCTGGAGGACTACCCTCCTTGCAAGGCCAGGCTCTTGGGGTGGTCTGTTGTGACCACTGTGGAACTCTCCTTCAAAGGGTCCCCAAAGTCCAGGAAAATTTCTAGTTTCTCCTCATCTCGTTTGCCGAAGAGATGAGTGGGCTGTTCAGAAACAGTGCTGACCTGGAGGCCGGAACTCAGCATTGTTCTTCCTTTGCCCAAACAAGGGAGCTCAGGCTCAATCTCCCTCCCCATTCCTTGCAGTCAAATCCTTCCTAGAGAGTTCTTTTCTAGATAATCTCCCGTTCTCTTAAAAAACCGGCTTCTACTGTTATTCCAACTTCCATCTGCTTACAAGGTCAAAATCCATGCGAGAATTCCTGGCAATAGGTATCTGGTAAAACTACATGGGTCGGGCCAATCCCCAGACAGGACCACACTCTTTGAGGATGATTCTAGTACCTCCGCTGTTTGGGGGGAGCCTCCTCTGTCCATCCCTTTGTGACTGCGTTTGCTGAAGGCGCATACTGAGGGCACGTTCTTCCCAGAGATCGGGGCAGAAGCTCTGGTTGCTAAACTCTTACTCTATATGAAGGCAACAGGGCTGCAATGCTGGGCAGCCAAGCCCCTCCGAGGCTGTCTCCAGGTTCCGGTCAGAGAAGCAGCATTGCCCAAGCATTGCAGAGGCTCCGGCAGAAGGGATCGGGACAGCGTGAATGCCAGTCTAGGGTTCGTAGTGTTCTCTAGCAGCTGGGTAGGGCAGCTAATTGCCTTGTTAGAGAGCGAGTCCACATTTCTTCTGTAACAGGTTTCTCAGAAGTGCCACAATTAGTACCTAGTGAATGAACAACACAGTTTGCATAAGCTTTCTCAGAGACTTCCGGGGGGAAACCGCTGTTACTCAAGATCAACTCATCTACTGTCTTTATCACAGCGCCCAACTAAGTGAGTGCCAATGCTGAGTCACCAGGACTGAGCCCCTCCTTCCAAGTACTCACAGTGTGGAAGCCATTAAGTCACCATAACAATTGAAAGGGAAGGACAGAGGGCCCCATACCTATACCTCTCCTGCCCATCAAACCCAGATGCCCTGGAGAGCAGTTGGGATTCTCACACATAGCTGGTGTAGTACAATACAAACTTCTTGGAAATGTACAGGACACCTCCCCCTCCCCCCTCCCTCTCCCCCTCCCCGTATCCATAGGGTCTGCCTTCATAGTTTCTGCATTTACAGATGCAACTGACTGCAGGTTGAAAATATATTTGAAGAAATATGTCTATACTGGAGATGTTCAGACATTTCCTACACTTCACAGTAGAACACTGTTTACATTAGCATTTATACCATCTTAGGCACTTTCAGTAAGTAATCTGGAATTGGTTTAAAGTATGTGTGATGCTGTGCATTGGAGATCTCATCCCTGGGTATTCTGCTAGGAGAAATAAAGGTGTGGATCTACCAATGACTGTGCACGAAGCTCACAGGAGCCTCCAGGTAATAACTGCCCACTGGAAACCACTCAAATCTGAAGCAACAGGTAGATGTGTCAATAAATCCTGACAGTGGGATAATAGAAAAGAACCACCGAGGCTGGCGAGATGGCTCAGGGAGGAAAGACACTTCCTGCTAAAAACCTGATGATGCAAGTTTGATTTTTGGGACCCACGGGACAGGAGGGAAAAACATCTCCAACAAGTTGTCCTCTGGCCTCCATATGAATCATGAATGCTGCATGCATTACACACACACACACACACACACACACACACACACACACACACACACACACACACACTGTAGGAAAGAACTACAGGTATATGCAACACTTAGACACAAATCTCAAACCAATTATGCCGAGTGGAGGCAGCCATGAAACATGAACTGTGCAATTTCATTTCTGCAAATTTCTAGGAAGGGCATGGGCTTCCTGGTGATGTGAGGCAGGGTGTGTGGTTGCCTCGGCATGGAGGAGGCAGGGGTTGAGGGAGGGTGAGGAAGTTTTGGAGCTGATGCCTGTGTATGGAGATGGCCTCACAGATGTATATTAAAGTAAAAACTCATCCAATTTATGCAGTGTTTATTATACGTCAATAGCACTCCAGTAAATCTGTGAGAAATGGAACAGACCAATGATCCCTGAAGTAGATTGGGAAGGAAGGACTGAAGAGCCGTGTGTTTGGGTTCACTTCCTGTGGGTGGTGGGGGAGAGGAGAGTGGCTAGGAAACAGCTGGCCCCGGGGCTGTTCGTATTCATGGTCACGAACTCTTCGTGCCTCAAGGGACTTTACAGAGAGTTCATAGCCCGTCTTCCTCACATCGGACACAGAGCTTCTAGAGCCGAGGCGTGTTCCACTCAGCCCCTTCCACAGGAAAGGGCCGAGCTAGGCTTATTTTCAGACCGCCAGCTGTTCCCTTTACCCCTCACAGCAGGGCTGGTGTCTCAGCTTCCGGAAGAAAAGAGTGGTCAGACTTCAGGGAGGGAGAGGGAGCTGCGGGGGGCGGGGAGGTGGGGGGGGGGTGATCTTAGGCTCCTCTTGCGATCTTGGTCAGGTGACCTGGATTTCTTCCCGCTGGGCACAGGTTGGGCAGCACTGTTCTCTCTTCTTGTAGTCTACAGAGCAGGCATGGCAAACAGAGCTTCCGCAAAGCCTGGGGAGCAGAGACAGGGGAAACCTGGGCTGGCTTCTAGGGGAGCACCTGCCGGTCCTCCTGGTCTGCCAGGGCAGCCTTTGGCTAGCTCAGGATGCTTCCCTTTTCCCACAGGCTGCATTGATATCTGACTCCAGAGCATCTATCTCCTGATGGTTGGTTTCCTCCTCCTGTTCGTCCTCCCCATGAAGTCAGTGGAAGGGGTGGGGCGTTCTTGCACAGAGATGCCAGGACCCTCTCCTTAGACAGAAGCCCAGCAGGGCGTTCTGGGAGGTTACTGGCCTCATCTTCCAGGACCTTCCTTCCTTTGTGGCCCTGCCCACTGTTCCCTTTCAGGAGTCTGCTTAGCAGCAGTAGCCAGATGGGGTGACCCATGCGGACAGGCTCAAGTGACTCTTTATAAACACCCATTTCCCATGCCCTAGCACGAAGGTGAACATCTGTAATGTCATTGTGTAGGAGTGACTGAGTCAAGGAAGATCATTAAGTTTGAGTTCCTCCTGGGTCACATAATGAGTTACAGGCCAGCCTGGGGTACATCACGAGACCCTGTCTCAAAATAACCAACTAAACCACGGCTGATGAGATGGCTCCGTGGGTAGAGGCACTTGCTACTCAACGGGATGACCCGAGTTTGATCCCTGGAACCCACATGGTAGGAGAGGACCAACTTCTGAGAGTTGTTCTCTGACTTCCACACATGTGCTGCTGAGGCACATGTGTGCATGCAAACACACACACACACACACACACACACGCACGCACGCACGCACGCACGCACGCACGCACGCACTGAAATAAATGTTAAAAAGAAAGTTCTTGACACCCAAACAAATCAAACAACACCAGGCATGTCCTTTGGTCCTTCCTTCCCTGGGTAGACAAGGGTCTGCGGGTTGTCCCAGACTCTGTGCCTTCCCCATTACCTGCAAGGATACCGCCGAGACAGACGCCTGAAGACCTTGTTGCAGCCCACGCAGTGTCCAGGGGCCACGGAAGACAGCTGTTGGAGCCTCTGCCACTGGTGGTCCTTCTCGCTGGTGGAGGGGGAGGACAGAGAGAGGGGATGAGGGGGGAGGCGAGGTGGTGATGGAGGAGATGGCCTCTCACATTGGCCTGAAGCTTGCCAAGTCGAGTCCAATAGATCTGGCTGTCTTTGCTTCCTGAGCACGGAGGTTGATTATATGGGTTTAGGGGACTGAATTCTAGTCCTTATGTTTGCATGATAAGCATTTCACTGACTGACCTAGCTCCCGAGCCCTCTTCAGTGGCGTGTGCATGTGTGTGTGTGTGTGTGTGTGCATATGTGTGCGTGCGTGTGTGTGCGTGTGTGCATGTTTGTGCATGTGTGTCCGTGTGTGTGCACGCGTGTGTGCGCATGTATGCATGTGTGTGCGTGTGTGTATGCATGTGTGTGTGCATGTTTGTGCATGTGTGTCCATGTGCGTGTGCACGCGTGTGTGCGCGTGTATGCATGTGTGTGCGTGTGTGTGCATGTGTGTGCATGTGTGTCCGTGTTATGTGTGTGTGTGTGTGTGTGTGCGCGTGTGTGTGCGTGCATGTGCATGTGTGTGCGTGTGCATGTGCATGTGTGTGTTATTGTTCGTATGCCACACATGCAGACAAAACACTCAATACATAAATAAATATTAAAAAATTAAATAGGGGCTTGTGTGATGCCTCAGCGGGTAAAAAGTGCTTGCTGTGTAAGTCCAGCAGCCTCAGTCTGATTGCTGGAGCCCTCATCAAAGTAGAAAGGAGAGGATGGACTACACAAAGTTGTCCTCTGACACATGTGCCCCGCTACCATGCATGTACACGCAAACACACAGTAATAAATAACAAAGTGTTTAAGCAGAAATCAGACTGTACAGCAGGGTTTATATAGGAAGCCTGGTCACCCTCCCACTCCTTCCTTTTCCAGTGATAAACCGTTTCTCCTTGGTATTCACCAAGGTAAACACGCCTCCGCAACGGTTTCTCCTTGGTGGTCCTTCCGTATTTGAGTAACAGGCTCAGAGACTTCCTTTGATGGAAAACGCTCTCTCTCTCCGGAGTTCCTTCGCTGGGTCGTGGAGGACTCATCTTATTTGTTACCATCCCCACCAACTTCGCCTTCCTCCCAGTGCGGTCAGGTCCCTAGCTTGGGTTCCTCTGTCAGTTACTCCTGTCAACTCACAGGATAGAATCCTGTATTCTCCTTCTGTCAACCACGAGCAATACCTTGTGACTTCCATTCCACCAGCCTCCCTTCCCTTCACCCCCCCACCCCCCGCCCCCTCGCTCCCCACTTGTCATCTGCTAAAGCAACCAGCGGTGGAAGCCACCAGCCACGAGTTTGTTTTCATATAAATCAAAGAAGAGGAAAACTTCAGTTGTACCAGTTCAGTATCTCAGGTTTGCAACTTCACGTGCTCAGTAACCGTCCTATCGCAAAGCACAAATGTGGGACAGGCTCATCTTCGCAGAACATGCTAGTCGAATCTTTTCTACTCTTTAATATTACATTCACATTCCAGTTTGTGCATGTGTGTGTATGTGTGTGTGTTTTCATCTGTGGTGGATATGTACACATGTCTGTGTATGCGCACATGCATGTGTGTGAAGGCCAGAAGTCGCCCTCCACCCTTTTTTGAAACAAGGTTTCTCACTGAACCTGGAGTTCACCGACGGGGCTACAATGGCTGGCTAGTGAGCTCTGGGGATGTCCTGTGGATGCCTTCCCCAGAGCTGAGGGTACAGGTGCACACTGCCGTGCCTGGCTTTAACACTGGGTGCCAGGGACCCTCAACTTGGGTCCTTGTGCTTTTGTGGCAAGCACTTTTCCGACTGGCATCCCCCCAGGTTCCACACTTTGTTTCATCATGCCAATTTTTTTATTTTTTTATTTTTTTATTTTTTTATTTTTTTTTTTTGAGACAGGGTTTCTCTGTGTAGCCCTGGTTATTCTAGAACTCACTCTGTGGACTAGGCTGGCCTTGAACTCAGAGATCCGCTGAGGCTACAGTTCAGAAGTAGAGGGGGCTGGGCTGGCACCAGTACTGGATTCAATCCCCAGCAGCGCAGACACCAGACAAAATGAATAAGACAGATGAGTAGTATTTATGTTATTAGATAATACATACGTTTCCTAAGTAAGTTGTGTTTTTCAAATCATATTGATTTATTTAGTGTGCTCTGTGTGTGTGGTGTGTGTGTGTGTGTGTGTGTGTGTGTGTGTGTGTGTGTGTGTGTGTACACATAGATACTACCATGTACACAAAGAGATCAGAGGACTCTCTGGACTTGGCTCTCTCCTCCCACCATGTAGGTCCCAGGATTTGAACTTGGCACAAGTACCTTTTCCTGCTGAGCCATCTTGAAAGGCTGGGAGGCAGGATCTCTGACTGTATCTGCCCTTCAACCAGTGGCAATCCTCTTGCTTCAGTCTCCTGAATACTAGAGCTATAGGTGTGAGCCACACTCCTGGCCTTTCTGGAAGTTCCTAATTGTGGTATTCTACATTTCTCTCTCCTTTGAGTCCCTTCTAAAATCACGAGCTAGAAGGGATGGGATCTCTTCTGACCATGATGGAAGACAGAGGGCAGCCCTTGAGGTGAGAGCATCATTATGGTCAGAGAACTCTGTGGTTTATAGGCTGTCTGCCTTTAGTGGCCAAGCCAGCACTGACCCTCAGTTTCCTCCTCTGTAGCATGCGGCATGTAATTAGTGATAGTTTGAGGTCACTAACAGATCCTCCTGCCTCTGCCTCCCAAGTGCTGGGATTAAAGGCGTGCGCCACCACTGCCCCGCTTACATCTTCTCCTTTCTTGGCTTACTTCTTTTTTTTTCTGGAGTACATCCTCAACAAGCTTCTTAAGAAAGGCCGTGTGGGAGTTGAATTTTCTGAAACCTGTTGGATTAATGGCCTGTGGCCATCACCTTAGTCATTCAACTTACGGTTTATGTGGACACAGAATTCTACTTCAAGAGTGGGCTTTTCTGAGAACTTGAGAATGATTACATCATAGACGCTGACACGTGGTGAGTCCCCCTAGCCTCCTGTGCTTTGTGATTTCCTCCAGATAACTTGAAAATAATATTCCTCTTTGCTTTTCTGAAACTTCACAATGGCCTATCTAGGTACGAACGGCAGTGTTCCCCCTTTTGTTGACTGTGCTGAGCACTCAGTGAGCTCTAAAGACGGCAGTCCGGCAGAGCCTGAAAATGCACATTTTTAACCTTTGGAATAACTGATTTGATAACCTGCTTAATTTTAGTTTCTTCTTTTTGGAAACCTCTGCCAGTTGGAGAGGGTATTAGGACTCCGTGTGTGTGTGTGTGTGTGTGTGTGTGTGTGTGTGTGTGTGTGTGCGCGCGCGCGCAGATGGGGGTACATACATTCGTGTGCATGCATGTGAAGGCCAGCGGTAGACACTGGGCGTCTTCCTCAATGACTCTCCACCTTGTTTTTTGAGACAGTGTCTCTCACTGAATCCAGAGCTCACCCATTTGGCTGGACTAGCTGGCCAGGAAGTCCCAGGGAACCTCTGGTGTTCATCTCCCTAACACTGTTTATAGGCATGCTACTCTCGGCTTTTAGCGTCAATGCTAGGGATCTTAGCTCTGGTCCTCATGATTACATGGCAAGCATTTACCCCCTGAACCATCTTCCCCCTCTCCCCCCTCCCCACTGATTTCTATGCCTCCATTTCTCTTGTTACTTACACCTGCTTTTATTCTGTTTTCTGGGAGCCTGCTTTTAATCAATTAATTAGTTAATTAATATTAATTATGTTAGTTAGTTTGTTCGTTTTTTTTTTTTTTGTTTTTTTGAGACAGGGTTTCTTTGTGTAACAGCCCTGGATGTCCTGGAACTCTGTAGACCAGGCTGGCCTCGAACTCACAGAGATCCGCCTGCCTCTGCCTCCCGAGTGCTGGGGTCAATGGTGTGTGCCACCACCACCCGGCTTATCTTTATTTTCTGATCCTTTTGGTGAATTAAACAAACTGACAATCATAATGTTTTCTTTTATCTCACTATAGCCCAGGCTGTTCTAGAACACACAAGCCTGCTGCCTCCACCTCCCCAGTGCTAGCGTGACATGGCTGAGTGTGTGCACACATGTGTGATCAGAGGACAGCTTTCAGGAGCAGGTTCTCTCCTTCCTCCACGGGCTCTGGGGCTCCATTTCAGGTCATTAGGCTTGTGCGGCAAGTGCCTTTATCCGCCCCCCTTAAATTATTTGCTAGCTTCCTCCAAGCTGACCCTGTTCTCTTTTCATTGTTAATGTGTGATTTTATGCACGAGAATTTAGTTCTAGATGAGTCCAGCAACCTGCTCATTTGCATGGAACCTGAGACCAGTGGCGTTGGGTCTCCTGAGCTCCATGAAAGGAGTGCACATATGTGTGAGCGTCCATGTCTGTGCACACATGTGTCTGGTATCTCCCTACCTGACCGAAGGGCGAGTGTGCTTTACATGTCTCCCCCATCTCAGTGGGCTTGGAGGCTTGAAATAAACCCTGGTGAGCTCAGCTCTGGCACCTAGAACAGCTGCCCTAGGCTTGACCCACAGGCCCAGAGGCCTAAGAAAGTCCAGTAGGCAGGTAGGTGTAGCCATGTGGCCACGTCGTGGTATTCTACATTTCTCTCTCCTTTGAGTCCCTTCTAAACTCACGAGCTAGAAGGGATGGGATCTCTTCTGACCATGATGGAAGACAGAGGGCAGCCCTTGAGGTGAGAGCATCATTATTGTCAGAGGACTCTGTGGTTTATATGCTGTCTGCCTTTAGTGGCCAAACCAGCACTGGTCCTCAGTTTCCTCCTCTGTAGCATGCGGCATGTAATTAGTGATAGTCTGAGGTCACTAACAGAAGGAAACAGGTTCGCAGAGGAAAGGTCTAGAACCCGAGAGTCGCGAGTGGTGTGGTCTTCGAGCCCGGCTTCCACAGTCCTCACCGCTCCTGCTTTCCACCCCAGCTCCCAGCCCCATTCTTACTGAATCAGTTCCAACACCCTCCTTTTCATGGTCCGGACCAGGTCCCTCTGCCCTTCCAGCTCCTTCTCATGCATGGCATCCCTCCTCTCGGCTTCCTGCTGCGTCTGCTCCAGCATCACTTGCAAATGGGCTCTTTCCGCCTGACACCTGGGAACAGGAGACTCAGTTTTAGGAGAAAGGCTCAGAACCTGTGACGGGAATCCTTGGAGAAAAGCCAGTCTACAGATAGGTGCAGTGTCTACATACACAAACATACAGAGGCACCTAACACACATACATTATACTCCACGTGTACTACATATTGCACACACTACCAACACCCACCACCATTCTGCAGTGCGCGCACACACACACACACACACCACACAATAAACGTGCATACCACACACCAAACTGAGCACCTATGACAGATTCAGCGACTGTAGAGAAACAGTAACAAGGCCTAACCTTGAGTGTTCCTGTAGAGGGCGCTACGGATCATTTCCTTCTCACTTTCTTGCCCTTCCTCTTCTCTCTCTCTCTCCCTCCCTCTTTCCTTCTTTCTTTCCCTCCATTTCCACTTTAAAATGTAACTCTCTGGAAAGGTATGTTTATGGGAGGCCTGTCTGGAAGTGTGTGTGTGTGTGGGGGGGGGGTGACTGCCTAGCCATCTCGTCAGGGAACACTCTGACCAGCTGGGAACAACTGCATGTAGAGAAGAACAGTGGAGGCCTTGGGGTGATTATCTCGCTTTAAAGTATTTTTAGAAGGTATGGTCATACTGTTTTTTCAATTTAAAAAGCAACAGGAAAAATATGGCTCTCCTACATTTCTGTCTCCGTGTTGGGTTTGGAACTGCCACCGCTCTATTCTTGCCTTTTCTTCTTGTTGTTGTTAGTGGTTTTCTAGAAGGTTCCAAGAAGCTTACCGAATTGGAAATAAAACAGCTCAAGCTTCTCACTCCATGACCTAGCTGGGAGTGTGTACCAGCCAGCGGTGGGTGGATGCTAGTGAGTTCAGGAGTCAAACCCAGGGCCCTGTGCTTGCCACCAGGCACTCTGCCAATTCAGCTACACCTCCAGTCCTTGAACTATTATTGACTCTTAAAGTATAGCCGTTTAGCAGGCCCCAAGACCGAAAGCTGGGCGCACTTTCAAATCTCACCAAGAACCCAACTTCCCAAAGGCCCATGAATGCAGGCCTTGTCTGGACTTTTCTTAGTTGCTGACCTCCACCAGGCTCCTGTAGAGGGCGCCACTCAACATTTTCCTCGTCTAGTTCTCTTGCTTTATGTGACCACCATGGGGTATGTGTGTTGGGTGGGTGGGAGGGAAACCTACCCAGGCCCCTGCTGTGTGCTGGTGGCTATTTTAGGTGCCAGTAAGAGGGCCGCAGCCATGGCTCCTGTAGGGCTTACGGTAAGTAAGCCAAGTTCTGTGACAGAGCCCACCGAGATGGAGACTAGAGAAGGTGCTGGGGCAGTCAGCTCAGACAATATGGCATTGAAGTCAGCCTTGCCAGTCGGCGAGGCAGAAGTGGTCTGTCTGCCTGGGTGACTGAAAGGAGGCTACCGGGCAGGGGGCCCCAGGAAGCGGGCAAGAGATGCAGGGAGGTCAGCCTGGCCCCAGAGGAAGCCACTGAATATTTCAATGACGGGAGTGGATGTCAGGGGAACAAAGGTGTCTTGCGCCCCTAGTATATGCCAGGCATTGAGCTGAGGAGCCATAGCCCTGCTTCATTCAGTTTTCACAACGTCATCAGATGGGCAGTCTATGCCTCATTTGACAAGACAGAAAAGTAGCGTCTCAGCCAAGATATAATTCTTACCTTGGATCACACAGTGTGGTAAGAGGACCAGAGGTCTGGGCATGGGTCTGTCCAGCTCTGAATTCTTTAGTCTTCTCCACACTTAGCCACCTGGGACCCTGGTCACCAGTGCTGAGTGGGCAGTAGCTGGGCAGAGCAAATGGCTTCCTGTCAAGTCTCTCTGTCTTTTAGGATGGACTTCCTGCGTTTTGTTTACTGTAGGACACCTGTCCCCGACCCAGGCATAATCACACAGGTACAGCAAATACAAGTAGAGAGAATGTGCCCACAGAACTTGGGGGGGGGCTGGTGGCGAACCCCTGTCACTGGCTGGATGCCCTGGTCCCTTTGCCCACTGGTGGGCTCAATGCTTGGCTCCTGGGTCTGGGAGGCGCTTGCTCTCTAGGCTTGGGAGTTGCGACTCCATCTGCCATCTGCCTTACTGCTGTCTCTCAGGCCACCTTCTCTCCAGCACCTGACTTCTTGCCCAACAGCCCTCCCTTGGGAGTCTGACCAACGTCCCAGGCCTTACAGGTTCCAAGCTCTGCTCTGAGCTTCCACACTAGCCCATCCCTCCCAGCCTTCCCCACCTCCGAGAATAGTTGTTCTCAGCTCTTTCTCTCAGATCCCCAGCCAGGCTCTCAGGAAGCCCTGCTTCAAAATTTACCCACAAATCAGCAGCTGCACCCCCTCTGCCACTGGCCCAGGCTGAATACACCCGCTCTCCTCCTGCTGTGCAGGCTAGTGTTTAATGTCAGCTCGACCCAAGCTAGGCTCATATGGGAAGGAGAAATCTTAATTGAGAAAATGCCTCTGTAAGGCTGGCCTTTAGGCACGTCTGTAGGGGCATTTTCTTGAGTGATAATAGATGTGGGAGGGCCCGGATCACTGTGGGTGGGGCCACCCCTGAATAGGTGGTCCTGGATGGTATAAGAAAGCAGGCTGAACAAACCCGGAGTGAGTAAGCAGGTAAGCGAGAGGCCTCCACGGCCTCTGCATCAGCTCCTGTCTCCAGTTCCTCTCTGACTTCCCTTAGTAACGCACTGTTCTGTGGAACTGTGAGCTGAAAAAAAATCCCTTTCCTCCCCAAGTTGCTTTTGGTCATGGTGTTTTTGCCACAGCAATAGAAACCCCAACTAAGACACCCGTTTACCCAGGAGCCTCCTGGGAGCTGCCAGTGTTTGCATACAGAGGAAAGGCAGACCACACAGAAGGAGGAGCAGGATGGAAGGCCCTGAGGTGGGGCTGGGCATAGCAGGATCCAGGAACAGGATGGAGGTCATTTTGGCCCCAGCGGGATGAGGAAAGAACCCTCCAGTCTTGTTCCATAGGGTCAGCCTGGGCTAGCCTAGTCTATGAACTGAAAATAAGTTGGAGAATGACTGCTAACAGGCACAGGCATTCTTTTCTTTGGTGTTTTCTTTTTTTTTCTTCCTGAGACAGGGTTTCTCTGTGTAGCTGTGGAGCCTATCCTGGAACTTGTTCTGTAGCCCAGGCTGGCCTCAAACTCACAGAGATCCGCCTGCCTCTGCCTCCCGAGTGCTGGGATTAAAGGCGTGCGCCACCACCGCCCAGCTATGCTTTAAAATAAACAAATAAATAATAGTAATAAACCACCCCAACCCCATTGCTCTGTATTTCACTTGCAGACTCCTACTTACTGTGAGTAACACGAAGGCAGGGATTTTGTGTCTTGCCCACAAGAATATGTTGGGTTCAGAATGGGTGCCTAAAGTGTTTAGGAATGACCAAGTGACAGGTGGCAGGGTGACAGGGGTCTGTGAGGGAGTGCCCTCAGATACAGGAAGAAGTTTGATACTGGGACATTTCTCTGGAGCCTCTTAGCTGCTCCCACCAGTTTTTCTTGAAGCCACAGAGGCTCTTGCATGGCCAAGACCCCGCACTTTCACTTAGGGTCTGAATCACAGGAGTATTTGCTGGTCCTAGCAGCTTGGGTAGTGAATGGAGTTCAAGGGGCTTTGGGTTGGAGTCTGGGCTCCCACGTCTGCCCTGGGTGTTCAACAGACAGACAGAAAACTTCCCGGTGATTCAGTATGAGTCATAGAAAACTCAGCCTCTGATAAGGGTGGGCTGTTCCCTGACCTTCCTTGGTGTCCTCTTGAGACAGAGGCAGCGTGGAGACACCGGGCCTATGAGGACCAAAGGCAAACTCAGGAAGATTTTTGCATGGAGTAGACTTCTGAAACAGGAAGGGTTATGACAGATAATGCCTTTGGGGCCTTGAGATCAAGGCAAAGAAGGGGACATGAAGCTATCTGGTAGAGAGAGACAGGGAGAGTGGAATATAGTCAGCTCTCTGTGTCTGTGTCTCTGGTTTGAACAAAAAATGTTGGGCGGGGGGAAGCAAACAAATAAAAAACCCTAAACTATGTGTCTTGAGTGTGTCCCAGGGTTATTTTTTTTTTCTTCATCTCATGGTTCCTTATACAATGTAGTGGTATGACTATTTTCACAGCATTCAGATCAAGTTAGGGAGGTTCATATAGCCCAGGGGAGGGTGTCCGGTGCTATGCAGACCCTACACTATCTTTATGCAAAGCACTTAAACAGCCATGGGTTTTAGTTTTACCTGCGGTCCTGGAACCAACCTCCTGCTGATATAGAGGACTGTGTTAAAAAACAAACAAACAAACAAACAAAAAACAGTGCCAGGTGGTGGTGGTGGTGGTGGTGGTGGTGGTGGTGGTGGTGGTGGTGGTGGTGGTGGTGGTGGTGCACGCCTTTAATCCCAGCACTCGGGAGGCAGAGGCAGGCGGATCTCTGTGAGTTCGAGGCTAGCCTGGTCTACAAAGCAAGTTCCAGGACAGGCACCAAAACTACACAGAGAAACCCTGTCTCGAAAAACAAAAACAAAAAAAACTGGACTGGGAGGTGGGCTGGGTTGGTAGAGTGCTTGCCTCGCAGGCACAAAGCCTTAAGTTTGATCAAGCCTTAGTACCATATACACTGGGCCCAGAGGTCCAGGTCAGGAGGATCAGAAGCTCAAAGCCATCCTCAGCTACACAACAAGTTTCAGGGCAACTTGAGCTGTTATAGCAAAACAAAATTGGCTTCGGGAGCCAGGCATGGGGGCACAGGACTGCCACCTGAGCACCGAGAGACTGAGACAAGGGATGGCAGAGGGGAGGTCAGTCTGGGCTGCTGGAACCGACCACACAACCACACAGAACAGCAAGAAAGCCCACTGCTGTGGACTCAGTCACCGTGGCAGGGCTCGGCGCCCGCCCGGGTTCTGTTGGCTAACAAGCTGACACTGGGTAAATTATGTAAGCTCTGGGTGAATGACAGCCAGCCATTGTTGGGGTTATGGGGAGGCTGAAAAGGGGGTGAAAAGGTTGCATAACAGGGAATAACAACAACATCGACAAAAAAAAAAAAATGAGGAACAAAGCCAGGCATAGCCATTTATGCCTGTAATCCCAGCACCCAGGAGGCTGAGGCAGGAGAATTGCCCTAAGTTCCAGGACAGCCTGGGCTACAGAGTGGAATCCTGGCTTTAAACACTGTGTGTAGGAGATGGATTTGGAGGCATGGTGGAGTCAGAGCTGCACCCAGAAGAGGCAACAGAAGCCCAGGTCAGGCACAGGAAGATCCCCGAGTCAGGGAGCAGGGTTGTCTCCCGTGGTTTTCGGGGAGGCGGGGGGTAGAGGAACTGGGATCAGGACTGATGCCCAGGATGGCACTGGCCTCAGTATCCTGCAGTTGTGCCCAGCACAGGGCCTGGCACACTGAGACACCCAGGAGTCTTGGAGTCCCAGCCCTGCGGGTGTTGCCAAGGTTACCTGACGAGCTGCTCCTGGAGCGCCTGCAGCTCTTCTTCCTGTGACCTCAGCAGCTGCTCCTGGCGCTGGGCCTGTTCCTTTGCCAGCCGGAGCCCATACGTGGGGTCCTGGGGAAAAGATGGGCAAGGAAGAATTGGAAGACAACAACCCAGCTTGGGGCCCAGCTGATGAACTTCCCTGTGAGGCTTTAGCCCCGTTTGGGTGAGTCTGGGGTTACCATTTCTTTTCCAAAAATCGCCAAGTTCTTGGACCTGGAAGACCCTGGCTAGGAAGGAGGCTGGGGGACATCTTGGGAGCTATCTTTGGGGAGAACTTCTGGGGAAAGCATGTCAAAATGTGACTAGTGTGTGTGCGGGGGGAGATGGTAGAGCACAAGAGCTTAGACACTGGGATGTCTCTGCCCTGGTAAGGGAGCCTGAACTTCGTGACCCAAAAGACTTACTGGAATGTGGTCCCTAACTCAAATGTTGGCATGGCTAGGCAGGAAGTACTGATAACTGAAGTAGGCCTCATAGAAAGCAATCATGAGAAGGGACACCCTGTGAGCTGAAGAATGTGTGACTTTCAAAGGGTCTCCCCAGATAGTGACTCCGAGAAGGCAAGCCGAAATTGATTTGCAGAGCTCTGTGTGATGGCACATACCTATAACCCTAGCATTTGGGGGTCAGAGGCAAGAGGATCAGGAATTCAAGGACAGCCTGGCTATATAGCATATTCGAGGCCAGCCTGAGTTACAGAAGATCTTTTCACAAACAACCCCTTATACTGATCAGTGGTCCGGAATGGCCTCAGCCTATCACTGTAGCCCTTTTAGCTGCAAGCCAGGAGAGAGGAAGCAATAGACGGGTACCTTGGCCACCTCCTGCACGGATACTTCCGCTTGATCCTCCAGCCTGCTCACACTGGTCACTCTTGTCCACTCTTGTGGCTTCTCTGTAGGGGAGCCTTTCTTTCCTCCCGGGCTCTGCAGGACCCGGGGCTGCCCTAGAACACTAGGCTGATCCCACCCCTGCCTGTTCCCTAATGCTGTGTCTTTTACCCTTCCTTGAAGGCTGGGGGTCAGCAGCCCTTGGTCATGGTCCCCATCTGCTGCCTTTTCCTGGGTCCCCTCTGTTGTTCTCTGACCTTCCGTCACTGACAGACTTCCTTTGCCTTCATCTTCCTCTCCTGTCACCTCCCTTTGAGCCTCCTTAGCCCCCTCCTTCTGTTGCTGGCTGCTGGCTGCTGAATTCTCCAGGGATTTCCTATTCTTTGGGCCTCCCTCCTTCTGGTCTAGCTCAGATCCTTCCCCTTCTGTTTCCCAAATGCTCTGGGGACAGCTGAGGCTCCTGGGATCCCCTTTCTTCTTTTCTAAAAAGGTGGGAAGATGGCCATGCTGCAAGGGGGTAGGGAGGCCAGGTAGGCGGTCTTCTCTGGGTGCATCTTGCAGACAGCTGGTTCCACGGGCGTCTGGTCCCTGTAGCTGCTCTCCTCTGGAGCAGCTCACCTGTAGAGAAGTCCCATCTCAGCATCTGGTCATTGATCTGGGACATAGCCCTGGGCCAACATGGTTTGCTTCTTATTGGACTCCTAGGCCTCCTATTGGGAAAGTCACCAGAGCCGAGATAATCTGAGGCAGCACCCCCAAAGACCCACAGATCTGAGCTAAGAACAGCAGGTGTCTCAGCTCCTCCCCTCCCTCAGTGGCATCTCCCTGGGCCTGGGTTGATGTTGTGTCCCTCCCCCCCCCCCCCGAATTCCTCCTCCACCTTCTCCTTTCACCTTTTCTCCTGTGCTTGATTTTGTCTCTACCTTTTCATCTCTAAAAGGGGAACAAGAATTCCTGGTTTATAAAATGGCGACAGAATCTTAAACAGACAAGGGACTACTCTCAAGAAGTCTCCCCTGGTGGGGATGTAGCTCAGTGGTAGACCACTTATCTAGTATGTATGACCCTGGATTCGATCCTCAGCATAGCAGGGGCAGGGGAGCCTTCTCTCTGCTTCTATTTTTTCCCTTGGCCATATCTGTACCCTCCAGTCATCCTTTGATACCAGGGGAGTTGGCTCCAGGACCTCAGGATGGTGCTCAAACGCCTGGATACTCGAGGCCCTTCTTTAACATGGTGTGAGGCTTGCCAATAACCAATGAACACGCTCCGATATGCTGAAAGTCCTTTTTAGATGACTTTAATACCCCACACAGTGTCAGTGCTGTGTAAGTAGTCATTATACTGCCTTGTTTGGGGAACACTGAGGGTAGAAGAATCCACAATGTTCAGAGCCAATGCAATCGGTTTTTTTCTAAATATTTTGTATGTGCGGTTGGTTGAGTCTACGGATGCAGAACCCACAGATGTGGGAGGCTGACTGCACACTTAGCATGGATTGCAATGTGTTCCGGATCTGTCTCCATGAACAACCCCCGAGCTCTTTCAAGGTCTGAGACCGAGTCCTTCACGGGGCCACATCTGGTGTGTCTGGAAGCTCGTGGAATGGTGACGACCTCAAGCTGCCACGTGAGACTAGAGCAGGAGCCAGGAGCCCTGTGCTGAGCTCCCTGGAGGTTGTCTCAAGCCATCCACCCTCACAACTCCCCTAGGACAGGAACTCACCTGAGGACCTTTAGCTGAGGTTAGAAAGGGCCAGCACTGGGCTGTGACTTGGGAAACCGGGCTCTTGAGTTACTCCCCTAACTGACATAGGCCAATGTGAACACCCAGCCCAGAGGTTTCAGCAGAAGGAGACTGCCTGGTCTGTTTGCTGCAAGCCTCCAGCCACCCCATTGGCCTCTCCTGAGAGTCCCAATGGCTCCTGCAGGGGGCAGCAGAGCTCCCTTGGTCTCTTTATTCCTCTCTCTTGCCTCCCACACAGCTTCCACCCCTGTTCTGGTGAGCGCTCTGCACACCCATGGGAGGCCCTGCTCAACTTGGGAGTGCCAGGAGATCGATGATCACGAAGCAAGTCAGGGTGAGGTAGGCAGACACACCTCCTTCGGGGAACCTCTGGGCTTTCTGGGTCTTCTTTCCTGGGTCTGTCTGGGATTGGAGCAGCGGGACCTGAAACCAAGAGGCAGAACATCTGGGGTCTTTAGCTGGCTTGGTCCTCTAGTGGGGGCTGCCCGGCTTCAGAGCCACTCATTCAGACTACTACCCTTACCATTTCCACCTTCCCCTGAGTGATTCCCTTTCCACATCTAGCCAGCCATCCCATGTTTCATCTACACATCCACTGCATCCCAGCATCCTACCATTCTTTCCCCATCTAGCCAGTATCCCATGTTCCATCTATATATCCACTGCATCCTAGCATCCGATCACCTATCCACCCCTCTCACTTTTCACTTTTAGCCTTGAGCAGCATGGCCTAGCCTGAGATGATACTGAGGAAAGAGAAGGCTAGAGAGTGGAGACAAGGATCAAGAAGGGGAGGGAAGCAGGTTTCACGGCGGAGGGGGGGGGGGGAGCAACCACCATTTGTACCCAGATATGGCACCTACGAACCGCAATAACCAACATGTCGTGATAACCCTAAGGGTGTAGTAGTGCTACACATACCTTGGTCGTAACCAACAGCTCTCTAATTGGAATGAAGACATGCTCAACAAGAGGGTAGGTAAATCATGCCTGGCACTGGAAACCTCGCCTACTACCCAAGGGTAGTGAAGTCAAGGATCTTGGAGAAGAAGCTACAACCACCACTTCACTAAATCAGCAGAATCCCTGGCTACATTCTAAATATTTGTCCTCATACCCACAGATCAGGGTAGTCCTCACCCCTCATCAAGGAAACGTCTCTTTGCAACAGATCATTACAGAAAACAACAACCCATCGGAATGAAGGGTTGTGGAGCCTAGTCCCAACCGATACATGTACAATACAGCTACATGTAAGGGATTATTGCAGAAGTGGGGGATTGAAGGGTGAGCTAGAGAGTCAGGGAGTTGACCACGGGGCTGTGTCTTCGAGGAATGTCAGAATCTACACCTAGAAAGTCTCACCAACATGACTGCCCAAACATGGCCCGAGCAAGGACAATAGCAATAGACATGCTAACACGAATGAGGGAAAGTTCACGAGGACTCAACCCTACAGAGAGAACTACTAAGGAACGCTGAGAGCGGGAGAAAAAGTCTCCCTCAGGGAGGAGCCCATTGACTGGTTCTCCAATACCAAATGGTTAGCCCTGAAAACATACACACAAATAACATTATACAGACTGGGTGGTTGAATGTGTGTGTGTATGTGTATCTCACGACAATTAATGAAAGAGGAGCTCATGAATTTGAAGAAGAGCAAGGAAGAGTATATGGTAAGCTTTGGAGGGAGAAAAGGGAAGGGGGAAACAATATAATTATAATCTCAAAAAGCACCTTTTTTAAGGGGAAGAGAGAATGGCTTGGGTTGGAGGCTGACAGCCCACTCACTCTGAGAACATGGGCCAGGCTTCATCCAGGTCTGGCCGCTGCAGGTCCAGATTGAAGGCGACTCCATTGAGGGCATAGAGAGAGTCCAAAATGTCTTCCTGGAGCTCAGGGCACAGCAGGGGGCTCCGGGGGCCATACCATTCCCTGTGCGAAGATGGACAAGCACATTTGGCAGTGGCCACTCTCGACCTCTGAGAATCGGCACACCAGAGGGGACCTTCCCGGGCAGGTGTGGCTGAGCTCAGCCTTGGAGGGCAGAGGCCCAAGCCGAACCGAGGACCCTTAAGCCCGTCCTCCTTTCTGACGCTCATTCCCTTATCCCTCGTGGTCAGCCATCCATTTAGGAGTGAAGGAGGGTAGTGGGCTCAAGCGTCCTACATGGGATGATGGCCTGGCAGTCCTACCGAGTGAGATCTGGACTCAGGAGGCACAGCTGCATGGACTCGGCCAGCTGTCCGTGGGCGAGGCAGAGTCGGAGAAAGGCGCGACCCTTTCCTAGAGAGGTCTTCAGCTGCAGCGTGTGGACCAAAGAAAGGGCCAAATCAGGATGGGGAGCTGGGCCAAGGTTGGAGGAGGAATGTGGGGCTGGAGGTGAGGCCAGGTCCAGTGAGCGGTGAGGAGTGGGTGAGAATTCTTCTGTTAGTGGAGCAGGTATGAGTGAGCGACAGGGGACCCAGGGAAGGGCTGTACGCCCGTCTCCAGCCATTCTTTGTCCGGGGGCTGGTACCAGAGCTTTATCGTGCTTGCAAAGTCCACCCCCTTCCCCATCTCCTGCTCCTGTTACCTTGTCCTGTGAGCATACGAATCTGGTCTGCTCCGTGTGTCCCCGATGCCGTCGCAGGGCTGTGCATAGGAAATCCCAGTAATCTTTCCGAGTCCCCAGGAAGCTCCTCTGCTCCTTCTGGTCAAACTAGGATGGAGATGAGGATAAGGAATGTGTGCCAGTGGTTCCTTCTGGAACCTACCTAGCACCCTGGCATGCTGGGAAGGCAACCGAGAAGAAGAAAGGACTCCTGTCTATAGACAGGCCCCTTTTAGGGAGAGATCTGGCTCTGCCCTTACGATGGGGACAAGATATTTGCTCTCCCTGAGTATGTGTTTACGCTCATTCATTCACAAACACTGAGTACTTTACTATGTGCAGACCCCATTCTAAGGCCTCTGAACAATGAACAAGCCAACCTCATGCAGCTGACATCTTGGTTGGGGAGTCGGAGGATGAATAAGTTAAGTCCTTAAAGCATACAGTGCGTTAGATGATGGTGATGGTGGCTGTGGAGGGGGAAAAAAGAAAGAGAATAGGAAGTGTGTGTGTGTGTGTGTGTGTGAGAGAGAGAGAGAGAGAGAGAGAGAGAGAGAGAGAGAGAGAGAGAGAGAGAGAGACTGAAATTTTAGCCTGAGGAAGCCTTCAGACCTGAGGGTCATGTGAACGGATGTCATGCAAGTATCTAGGGAATAGCATTCCAGGCAGAGAGAACGTAAAGATAAAGACCCCTAGACAGGTGCGGTGCGATCCTGGTGGGCTATGGGGGTTAAGACAGAGTTGAAAGAGTGCAGTTCACTGTCAAAAGATGACGTCAGAGGAGGAGGAAGGATAATTACGTTTATGTGTGTGTGTGGGGGGGGGGCGGGGCAGTAATCAAGGCTCTCAGGAAGTAAAAATGAGGAGAGAATGAAGGCCAGTCCTAGCTCCTAGGAGGCAGTTTATGTCATGAAAGGCTTGCTCACTGAGCAAGGGGACAGTGGCTTGGGTATATCGCTGGGAAAGCTCTCCTGAGTATTCAGAGCCAAAGACTAGGGGAGGGGAAGAGAGGGAAGGTGGACATTCCCACCTGCAGCAGCAACTCCAGACAGCCACAGAGTCTATGTAGCTCAGCGCTGGCGTCTGTTACGGGCCCCTGCCCATCCCCATATCCTTGGAGGATGGCAGAGACAGCGTCTGCAAGGAGGAATGGTAGACAGCAGGCATCAGAGAGCCCAGCCTCTAAGGGAGATGCTCTCCAGACCGCAGCTCACCCCCAGAAAGGCCTCACAGGACATACTCACCTTTCAGGTTCCTGGTGATCTTTAGGATGGCCCCCTCTTCTGCCATGGAGACTTGGAAGCGACGTGATTCCCTGTGATCCTCTGGGTTCAGCTGCCCACTTTCCTTCTGTAGAGATGGGATGAGAGTCTGGAGCTGAGAGAGGATGAGAACACCCTGGGGTCACACAGTGAGTTAAATGGTGGGATGAAAAACAACTCTTCCTTTCTTCCTTTCTTTCCTTTAAAATTTGTTTTAATTGTTTACTGAGTATACTGCAAGGGATTAAAGTTACCTCTTGAAGGCTGATGTATAAAGATGTAAATGTAGCTCCTACTTATTGGGTCATTCCTGGTGCTGGTCACCCTGATCATTGCTGACATCTTTTATCTCATTCAATTCCCTTGGTAGCCTCCCGAGTGTACTGTTACAGAAGATGACTGGGCACAGAGAGGGAAAATCTCAGCCCCGTACCACAAAGCTACAAGCTGAACTCAGATCTGTTTCCTTGGTATGAGCAGAATGTCTGTGCCCTGTGGACACCCGGCTGGGGCAACTGTGACCTCCTCTCCCCCTGGATAGTCCCTGAGCTTCAGCAGGGTGTCATCGCCTTGAGACCTACATTAATCCTTTCCAGGGCCCCAGCTGAGTGGAAAATGTGTGTTCCCTGGGGGAAGCAGGCAGAAGTAGGGATACAGAATTGAGACTGAACTCAATGGTGAGTGTGAGGAGTAGGGTGTTGGGTTTACCCCCACCATTCTGTGTCCAACTGGTCCTGGCACCCAGAGAGGGATGCTATTGCCCTTGAAGGATTGATGATGAGCTTAGGCTAAGATCCTGGCATCCAAGTCAGGCCCAGGACGAAAGCCCCAGTGTCCAGCCTTCCAGGTCGCAGAAATGGAGTTTGTGGGTGTGGGTGTGGGTTGGGGGTTGCAGCCCTGTGGCAGTGGATCATGGGGAAGGAAAGGAGAAAGAAGACAAGAAAGGAAAGAATAGCAGTGTACGGGGCCCAGGCCTGGGAGTCAGAGGACGCAGGACCACCCTGGACTGGTTACTCGCTCACCTTGTGTCTTCCAACAGTTCACTCAGGCCCCGGTTTCGTCACCTGCAGACCAAGGACTAGACAGAAGTTCTCTACAGACCTGCAGGACTCCTCTATCCTATCCCCAAACCCAGGGACTGCCCCTGCTCACCTGGGAAAGCCTACCTGGTTGGGGTGTGGGCAGCAGGGTTCTGCAGCCTGAGTTATGTCCCTTGTGACTGTGGGCTCTGCACAGCCCTTCCTGCCTGGAGAGTGACTCAGGCCCAGCCTGGAGAGGGCTGGACCAACCCTGGCCAGGGAGAAGCAGTAGAGAAAGATCAAGGGCACCGAGGCAGAATGCGTGGCTCCCTCAAGCTGATCTGGCATAGGGCCAGTTGGTGGTCAAACACAAACCCCATAGAGGCCTCTTTCCCCGGGCACCTGCTCCTGTCCTTCTGTCTAGTTGCCAGAAGATGGCGGAAAGAGGCTGACCGAGGCGCAAGCGGGCTCGTTTCTCTCCGGTTGGTTCCTGTCACTGGCCTGCAGGTGTCACAGGTGGAGAGAGGACAAACGACCACCAAGTATCTTCCCCCCTCCTCTACCCCAGCCAGCTGAGCGATCCTCGTCAGTGCTGGGGTGCCTTCCTCCCAGCCCTGGTACCCACGTCCCGGGGACGGAAGTAAACGCTCGGTCAAGCGCCAGGTGGGCTGCTCTTGTAGGGTGGCCTCTCTTCTTGACCTCGCTCAGCTTCCTGATGCTGGCTGGGGTCATAGTTTTTTCTAGGGTAGACTGGTCTGGGTGGGGGCTGGTCCTGGTAACTGGCAACCGAGGGTTGGAGACTCCTAGAACTGCTTTGACAAGGTAGAGGAACCACCTGTAAGCAGGGCACAGGGCGGTTCCCCAAGCCTGCTGTTCTCTGCTCCACGTCCCGCTCTTTTCCCCCCGGTGCAAAGCTCGATCCCAGCGACACCCGTCCTCCCTGTCGCCGTCTCTGTCCCCCACAGATCCCTTCTCTGGTGTCAGTGTCTCAGTCGCTCGCTGGCCCCTCTTTCTCGCGCTCCTAAGCCCAGCCGGTCCCAGGGACTCCGCTGCCGCCCCTCCCGCGTTCCCGCGCCTTCGGGTCCCCTCCCCACCGTCTGCCTCCTGCGTCCGTGTCGCCGCCCCTCGCAGGGCCCCCGCACTCCCACTGCCTGGCAGAGCCGCGGCGGAGGCGGAGGCGGACTCCGACGGGGCGGGCCGGGGGCGTCGCCCTCTTTCCCCCACGTCGCAGACGCCCTGGGCCGGAGAGGTCGCTGGGGCTGGGGGCGGGCCAGCTCGCGGGTAATCCGCGTCCCCGCCCCGGGCCCGCCGGGCGCCGGGCCGGATGGGCTGCACCGTGAGCCTGGTGTGCTGCGAGGCGCTCGAACCCGCGCCCCCCTGCGGCCCGCAGCCCCCCGGGACTCCGCCGGGTCCTGAGCGGCCCGAGCGCTGTGAGCCCGGGGGTGCGGCGCGAGCCCAGAGGAGGAGGCGGCTGCTGCTTCAGGTAGGGTGCTGCGGGCTGGGTGCGGGCAGAACCCAGTCCACCTGGGACAGTAAGGAGTCTGGGAAGGTGTGGGTTGGGACGTGGGAGGGCCCTGCAGCCAGTTCCGTGGAGGTCACATCTGGGCTTCTGGTGTCCTTGCGCAGAGAGAGGGTGCCTTAGAAGGACAAATACCTGTGAGCCGTTGTGGTGGGCAGGTCTGTGAGCCAGCACTACCGAGCTTGAGGCGGGAGGATAATAATCCAAGGCCAGCATAGTGAGATCGTTTCTCGAACAACCCAAATCCGACCCAAACCTAAAACAAAACGCAAAACAAACAAACAAACAAACAAAAAACAAAACAAGAAGAGTTGAAAGAGAAAGTGGCAGAGAGAGGGAGAGAGGGAAGCAGCAGGCAATTAGTTCGGGTGAGAATCTGGAACCACCAGAGGGTGCTGGGGCAAAGAGGGAATGGTTAATATCCTCTTCGCTTGGTTGGGGTCGGGAGGCAGAGTGGTGGCTGCCTGGATCTGTTCTACCTGGAGGAAGGGGCTGTCAGAGCCAGCGCGGGGGCCCATTAGCAGAGAGTGTGAGGAGGTTGGTGGGACAGAGGCAGAGGCAGGGAAGACAAGGGTGGAGGGGGTGGGGGTGGGGCATTTAGCTCTCTGCATCCCCTTTCCCCTCCCTCCTCTTCTTTTCTGGCTGATCTTGGAACCTGGGTGTGGGAAACTGACCAGAGGCTGCTTGATGTGGGCGAGCAGGCTGTCTGGATCCCCCACGCTTTGCATGGGCTCTGCCTTTTCCTGGAGAAAGTGTTTTGTATTACTAGGGACTGGCCAACTCTTCTCCAGCCCGTGCAGGACCACAGCCTCCCTCTCCATGGGGGCAGGGGGAACAGCCTCATGGGACTGTGTGCTGAACTATGTTCTGGGTGATACTGGCGTCCAACAGTTCTTTCTCCACGGAGGCCAGCAGTCCTCCTAATGCGTCCTGCAACCACATCCCAGCCCCTCCTTATGGACCGCAGGGAGGCCAATGTGGCTATGTGTACTTATATACATGTTTGCAAGAGCATTGTCCAGTGCCTAAGAGGCCCCTCTGCACTGCTGGACTGGCTGTCCCTTTAGGGCACAGATGAGAGCCTTATTTGCGGTTAAATGTCACAGCCACAGGTACAGGGTTGGGAACTTCTAAATGAAACGCTCTCTCCTGCAAGGCAGTAGGCAGTGACTGGGCACGACGAGGGACAGGTTTGGGGATGGACTTGTCATCTGTATCCCAAAGTGGCTGGTGCCCTAACTGGATTCTCATGGAGCCTGGGGAGGAGGGAGGGCTTGGGGAGGCTGGGGGTATGAATTGGGCACCCCACATCACTGGTGATGGCAGAGAACTGGGGTGGCATGATAGAGCTTTTAGACTGCACCCCCCCGCAGAATCATTAGGGTGGTTCCCCTCACCCACCCACCCTTGGTCCAGAGCTTCCCACTGTTCTGTCTTTTGCAAGATGTCCAGGGGAGGTGAGGAGAGAGTGGCCCTTCCTATTTCACATCCTGGGTTTTCTCTTAAGGAGTGAGTCTGAGCTACTTCCTGGGGTCTGGGGCTTGAAGTAGAGAGCCCTGGGAGGCATCTCAGAGGCCAGGGCTCCCCTGTTTGTTGCTCTTACCTCCTGCTTGGCTGAGACCCATCCACTTCCTTGTTTTGCCTGCTGCTTTTCAGACAGGTCTCTGACCCTTCTCTTTCTGCCTGTGGGCTCAGGACCTTGACTCGCTCCTAACTCTCGCTGCAGCCACCTCTGACATGGTGGGGGATGCCCACCCAGCATGTGAGGGTGTGCAGGGATGGATAATTGGGGCTGAGATCCGGGAGAAGAACCAGGGGCGCTGGAGGTTGGTGACTCAGGAAGAGAAAGGAGGAGGGATTTGTGTGTGCCCTATGTGACAGCGACAGGGACAGGGATGTCTGTATTCGGGGACAAGTGTCTGTCTGCATTTGGATGAGCTGGTTTTCCAGTGGCCTCTTGGGAGAGCTGGCTGTGACTCATCCCTTCCCTTATCTGCATGGATAAGGGCTACATCTCAGCCAAGTGCCCAGGCTCTGGTTCAAGCAGGGGCTGCTGGGCCAGCAGCTCTTCTTGCTTAGTTAGCCAGGACCCCATTCACAGGTAACTCCCAGGAGACGATGCAGCCCAGGAAAGAGCAGTCTGTGCCTATCACAGGGGCCCTTGCTGGAGGAGGTGTGATACTCATGCTCTTGTTCTGGATAAACATTGCTTGGGCTCTCACCCTCCCGAGAATCCGGCTCAGAAGCTGCTAGGCATCTGGGCTGGCAGCCAGGGCTCTCCTACTGCCGCAGACACGTGCCAGCCGCCATTCCTGCCTGGCCCATCCCACGGGCTAACTTTGTGCCCTGAGGCGGGCTGGATGTCTCTGACTCCCCTCTCAGCCTTGCTATTCTGATGCCCCCTTTGCCCACTGTGGTCTCCCTGTCTCCTTCCTCTGCAGTTGCCTTTCTCACTCTGCGGAGGCGCCCCCCCTCTTCCTAGCCCCACCCACTCTGCCTCTCCAGCCAATCTGAGACCTGCTCCTCCTCCCTGTTTGGAGGGTGCTGCCGGCTCCAGCTTTGCCCTGTCTTGAGCTTGGATCCTATACCCTTCAGCTGGCTTTTTTTTTTTTTAATTATTAATTTTTAAAAAATTTATTTATTTATTTATTTGTGCACATGCCATGGTCCATGTCCTGTAAGAGTCCCATCTCTTCTTCTACCATGTGGGTTCCCAGGATCAAACTCCCGGCGTCAAGCTTGGCAGCAGGTGCCTGTACCAGCTGAACCGTCTCATGACCCTCAGCTGGTTTCTTTGGCCCTCACAGTTTGTGCATGCTGAGCCCTCCTGAGGCTCCTGTGGAGGCCTGAAGAGGAAGGAGGGCAGGGATTGTTGGCATCCCTCCTGAATGTTCCCGCCAAGCTTCTCTGACCTGGGCGCCAAAGGGCCTGGCGGGCATCTCTAGGTGCCAACCTCGCCTCCTCACTCTGTGCCGTATCCAAGACAAGTGGGTGCTTGTCTGATGGTGGCGGGAGCAGCAGAAAGAGACGTCAGGCCGATTCTTCCCTCCTAAAGCCGTCCTTTGGGGTTACTCCTCTGGCCTCTGCTTCTCCCAGCCGGGAGTCTCTGAAGTTTAGCAGACCTGCAGCCACCCCTGTTGGAAGCTCCTACAGGATGGACAGTTCTGTGTTGAACTGTTTCTTCCTTTTCTTCTAGTTTGCTAGAGTTCTAGAGCTCCAGAGCCGAACAAGACCTTAGTTCACGGTTCTGAACCTGAGGTGGCCACAGCTCCCGGTGATAATGTGACGGAAGCTATGGATGCTGTTGTTAGGGAGGAAGGAGCGTGTGCATGCGCGCACAGCTGCTGCACACACAGACACTCTCCTGCATCTCTCCATATTTACCCTGGCTCCGGTCCATCTACTTTGTGTTTCACAAATAAGCACCCCAAGGCTCAGAGAAGGGGGGTGGCCTGCCCAGTGTCACACTTCATGTAAGTAAGTGTCAGAGCTACCACTTTATCTCAGGTGTCCCGGCCCCAGACGGGTGGGAGTTTCGCCCCCAAATGCAACTTTGGCTTTTTATCTCCTGCAAGATAGGAGCCTGGTTGTTCGTTGGCTCCATGTTGATTCTAGTAGTTTTGGACAAGTGGCATCAGGTGAGGAGCTGGGGACAAGGCAGAAAGCAGGCAGCACTTGCTCTTGCCCCAGGGGACTGTCCTTGGGTGGGAGAGATGAAGAGGGCTGCTCATGAGATCTGGAACACATACTCCTTCCCTGGTCCCAGTGCCAGGGGTCGGCGAGGCAGGTCAGCCTGTCACGGGATGACAGCAGAGTGATTGGCAGAGAGAGGAAGTAGTGCTTCCGCAGGGGGCTGGAGCAGAGGTAGGGGAAGGGAGAAGAAGGTCTAGAGGAAGGAGTACCATGCACAAAGGTCCTGGGATGGAGGGTGGCTGTTCTGGTTCCTTGTCTAGGCCATGGTGATGGTGTGAAGGGAGCAAGCGCCAAGTCAGGAGCCCGGGCAGGTGAGGCGGTCTTTTGGGAAGGAGGTGACGAATGGAGAAGGCAGAGTGAGGCCGAGGCTCTATAGGATCGGGGCCACTGGGAGAGCGTGGAGGTAGAATAAGATGGCAGCGTGACTCCTCAGCTTACACATAGGGTGGCTTAGGAGGCCCAACCCATTCCCCGGCTCAGTTAGAGTATTTCACAGAAGCGTGTACAGACGCCCTACCAACTCAGACACTCGTATCTTTGTGCTCCACAAGTAGAGTTAGGAAACAGCCATCGGTATGCCTGTGATTCAGGGGGCTGAGGCAGGAGGACCATGAGTGAGGGGATGGATTGGGTTATATAGTGAGATCCTGTTTCAGATAAAGGGGGAGGGGTCATCTGGGGATATGGCTTGGTCATAGAGGACTTGTCTAGGTATAGAAGACCCTGGGTTTCATCACGAGTTGGGGGAGGGGAAAGAAGAGAAATTGAGTTTTCCAGCCCAGCACCCTGACGCTCTCCTTCCTGCCTCCTACGACTCACTGATTTCCCCTCAAAGGGATGTTCCCTGTCTTGCCTTCTGTTAGCACAGACTGGGCTGGTATAGGAT